CTCTAGTCTCATGGGTTTGTTATGAGAGTGGGTGATGTTGACTAGCTACCTTTACTCCCTCTAGTCTCATGGGTTTGTTATAAGAATGGGTGATGTTGACTAGCTACCTTTACTCCCTCTAGTCTCATGGGTTTGTTATAAGAATGGGTGATGTTGACTAGCTACCTTTACTCCCTCTAGTCTCATGGGTTTGTTATAAGGCCCACTCTTATAACAAACCCATGGCTAGTCAACATCCAAACCCATGAGACTAGAGGTAGCAATGGTAGTTAGTCAACATCACCCACTCTTATAACAAACCCATGAGACTAGAGGGAGTAAAGGTATTATAAGAGTGGGTGATGTTGACTAGCTACCTTTACTCCCTCTAGTCATTATACTCTGGATGTTGAAATATTTCATTCCTTCTCCTTATTTTATTAAGCCTATCTTTAGTTTTATAGCCATCTAATTCACCTGGTTACTGTTTAATTTCTGTAGGGAGTATCCTGAAGGCTAACGATGACCTCACAACAGTGATAAACATTTACAAGAAGCTGGTTCTTGGACAAGATGTCGAGCCTGTGGAATTTATAGCAAACAGAACTCACAAAAGTAAATAAACTTACTGCAAATTAACTTAATTTAGGTTTTAGAATATGTAAAGTACCATTTTCAACATCAAGGTGAAAGATGTAATTACTCAACTGTGCAACATATTGAAGAAACACTGTTGTTGAAAGATTATGTACCTTAAAGTGGTGTACAGGTGTGTCCCAATTGTAAGAGAACACCTATCTGAATGTCAGTAATTAAGTTAATGTTATTTTTCAATATTTAGAGGTTAAGCTTTTAATATTAAAACAAATTATGCTGTCTGACAAATAGTCAGGTGTGGTGTTTTCTCATCATTATGTATATATATTTATGTTAATTAGTGAACTTTGGTGTTTTATACTTATCTGCAGGTGAAACTACGCTTCTAGATCTAGCATCGCTGACTGAAACACATGATGTGGACAAAAGTCTTTTAGATGACCAGCTATTAGCATTAGGTAAGAGACACAAGTTGGATTGATTAATAGTTTTTTGTTTCTTTTATTTTAGGTCTATGTTAGTTTAAATGTTGATGAAATAACTCTTCATATGAAATATGATCAACAGCTCATAATGACAGTGAAGTTACTGAAGTGTTAATAACAGCACATGATGACGGTGAAGTTACTGAAGTGTTAATAACAGCACATGATGACGGTGAAGTTACTGAAGTATTAATATACATCACATGATGACGGTGAAGTTACTGAAGTATTAATAAACAGCACATAATGACAGTGAAGTTACTGAAGTATTGATGACAGCTCATGATGACAGTGAAGTTACTAAAGTGTTAATAAACAGCACATGATGACAGTGAAGTTACTGAAGTGTTAATAACAGCTCATGATGACAGTGAAGTTACTGAAGTGTTAATGACAGCTTATAATGACAGTGAAGTTACTGAAGTGTTAAAAACAGCACATGATGACAGTGAAGTTACTGAAGTGTTGATGACAGCTCATGATGACAGTGAAGTTACTAAAGTGTTAATAAACAGCACATGATGACAGTAAGTTACTGAAGTGTTAATAACAGCTTATGATGACAGTGAAGTTACTGAAGTGTTAATAACAGCACATGATGACAGTGAAGTTACTGAAGTATTGATTACATCTCATAATGACAGTGAAGTTACTGAAGTATTAATGACAATGAAGTTATTGAAGTATTAATGATAGTGAAGTTACTGGAGTATTGATGACAGCTCATAATGACAGTGAATTTACTGAAGTATTAATAAACAGCTCATGCTGACAGTGAAGTTACTGAAGTATTGATGACAGCTCATAATGACAGTGAAGTTACTGAAGTATTGATAAACAGCTCATGATGACAGTGAAGTTACTGAAGTGTTAATAAACATCACATGATGATAGTGAAGTTACTGAAGTATTAATAGCAGCTCATGATGACAGTGAAGTTACTGAAGTATTAATAAACAGCTCATAATGACAGTGAAGTTACTGAAGTATTGATAAACAGCTTATGATGACAGTGAAGTTACTGAAGTATTAATAAACAGCTCTGTTAACTTCTTTCTTATGGGGACCCTTTTCTGAACATCACAAGATTTTGTTTAGTTATATATAAAATTTAATTAAGCTGTTTTATGATAAATTTTTGTCAATGAATTCAGCATTAAAAATTACATTATAGTCCAAAGTTTTATATTATCTAAGTTTTAATTTCTTTATTTCAAAAGAAAGCTTGAAGAAAAGTTATTAAAGATTTGTTTTATTCTCATGTGTTCTGCAAGTTCGTAAAACGCTTAATTTGTGTCTTTGTAGTTTGAACAGTTCTTGACTCGCACTAAACTTCTATATATCCAAGGAATCTAGGTTAATTGTTCTGTTTACACATTCTTTCAAACTACATAGGGCATGTTTGGAGAGAAGAGAAATAAATTTCTCTGAACTCTTGACAGATGCCACACCCATTTTCTACATTATCCTTAGTTCAGCTAGATGTTTATAACGAATGGAAAGAACGCTTTTTGAAGTATATTCTCTTAACTTTTATTTTAAAATTGGTGTAAATAACTAGTCAAACTGCTCTTAGCATTGTTGCTGCTTTGTCCCTGCCACTTTAGCATTGTTGCTGCTTTGTTCCTTCCACTTTAGCATTGTTGCTGCTTTGTTCC